TACTTTGACAAACAGCAAAAATGTTTTGTACCGAATATCTAGTCCTTCAACTTTTTCTGTATCCTTTTTCTGCTGAACACCTGCACGTTGACAATATATGTACACTTGAGCATTCAATCTTACTTCAACATGTCTTCTGATAGATAACAATTGTGTTGCATTATGAATTGGACTTTTCAGAAAAAAAACCACAAAGAAACAAAATCCTGTTTAGGAAGGTCTCTTAACTTTTTATCTTCTGAAAAAAAATACCATCAATAGTGTTAAATAAAGAAGTCAAAGACAAGTTCAAACACTCCTTTTTCTGTCTGCTTCTCAAATACACGACGGATACCTCGTCTTTCTACTGCAAACAAAATCTACCTATACAAATAAAATAACCTCAACCACACGCACACCAAATGAACTCATCACGCAACATGTTTGAAGTGCAACAGGTTCAGTCCTCCCTGTGAAAGGTGTGTATAATACTAAGGAGTGGTATCTTAACTGGGGGACTCTCACAGGCAAAGAAACAGGTCTGGGAAGAAGTGAAATAGCGAAAGACAAATGGTGAATAGACAGCAGCGATAGATCAAATGTACTGTCTACTAAGGTCAAAACGCACAGACTCGCGTGGTAGATGGACAACAGGCAGTAAGAGAGTGAAGAGATCCTGGGAGAGCATTTCCATTAAAACTAATGTTTAGTTTGTGACTAAAGATGTGCTGTGAAAAGTAGACAAATGACCTTGGTTCTTTGATGAGTTTACAGGATTCATAAGACCATTTATAAAACTAGTCATGGTGTAAAATCAACACTTGTGTATTGAAGTAATGAGGGAGAGAGTAAAGAGGTAAATAGAGAGACAGATGTACTGGATGTAGGTGTCAAGCTGCTACCAACGAGGAATGCATGATATCAAATATGTGTGAATTGAGGGATATGATATGATGGCATATGATGGATATCTTGGTTATTGTGCAGTTATTTTGAAATATATACGGGGATAATACATTCACCTTCACTAACGGGGGGAGGACCATGACTATCTTCTCATGTATGTATGAATCAATTTTGAGCACTGAACCTTTGCAGGTTATTCACACTGTGACGTCTCTATGAGGTCCCAAGACAGACATGTGAGTCGATGAACTTCAATAAGACTTATCAGGAGAGGTTTGCCTTTAACCAATAGCAAGATGATGGGATAACAGGGATGCATTGGTGTGGACAGGTTACTACAAATGGTAAATGGTAACTTAGCGCCATGCTCAAAACGTACGTGCTACAACATGTTCTATTTGAGGTTCCATTACAGCAAATGAGCGAGGATCAACTTGTCTTGTTGTATTACACATTATTTTTTGTTTTGCCAAAGGCCTCGATGACAGCACCATGTAACACATCCCCCATTCTCCCAGTGCATTGGTCTCAATGAACTGAATAAGGAACCCCACTGTGGGTCGAAAGAAATGCCTGAAGATGCTGAAAACCCAGTGTTGTTACACTTTTCCCTCAGGTTGAATAGGAGCAAGATGGCTGATGTCTGAAAACTGATGTCTGAAAGTTTGAGCAATAGTACTGACACTATATTTATGTCTTATGCAACAGAATTTGAATTGTCTTGTTGTTGAAAGGTGCTATACACAAATAAACTTGCCAAAACACTTTATACTGTGTGTAACAGACAAGTGATTTGTTTATTTAATGTACAAGGAGAAGTACGTATATAGCATGAGGCATGGGCCTTTAAGATAAAATAATGAAATATAAACAGAGCAGCACAAAACACACAATGTCAGTCCCCTTTTGAATTTCAACCATGTGATGTTTAATAAATGTTTCAATATTTAAAATATAGCTCCCGAAACTGAACACAGACATTGAAGTAAACAGTAACTCTTAAACTATATTTCTTAATCACATTTGTGCTTGTGTTACTACTCCACTGCCCAATCTCAAGGACACTGATGTTCTGTTCTTTCACTTGTATCATTTTGTATTTTGTGTACATGGATACCCTGGAAGAGTTAACTGCCCTGAGATGAACTGAAGACTGTTGAACTTAAATGAAGCGCTCAAGTTCAATAACTTATTGGACAACATTGCCCCCTGGTGAAAGTTAATGTGAACTGATTGTATATGCACTTACTGTGTAGCTGACGTACATCCAGTTCCGGTATGCTTAAGAACTTTCTAAATGTTGAATCAATCCAACTGTTATAGACTTTACACAAGAAACTGTGAACTATAAATCCAAATATTTTACAGAGGAGGCAAGTGAGAAGGTAAATTAGAGTATTTAAGTACATGCAAGTGGTACTTTAACATTACTTGAGTATTCCCTGCGTTACATCTACTCAACCACGTTTCAAAGGAAAATGCTGTACTTTTTATCTCACTATTTCTTTAGTTTTGTTTGCATTGTTGCTTCACATTTACAATTTGTGTATGCAAACCCCATACGCTTAGATATAATGTTTTTAAATCACCTAACCATGATTTAAAAACACTTTAACGAACCTTCAATATGCAGTTAATATTTTATCCCCCGCGCACTCTTATTTAGGTGTGCAAGTTAGAAATAAGACAAGCTTACCTTGTTTGAAAATGGCGTGGCTGTAAATAAAAAACGTTGCCGAAACCCGGGATCGAACCAGGGACCTTTAGATCTTCAGTCTAACGCTCTCCCAACTGAGCTATTTCGGCGCATGTGCAGCAAAGGTGATCTATACTGGGTTCTCTTCCCTACCGTGGAGCTCATGTTTCCTACCGACAGATAAAGCCAATCTAGCAAGCTACACATGTAACAATGCACCTAAACCGAGTGTCGAATGTTTCTTATCCAACTACAGGACCCTGGCTTTCGAAGAAAAAATTACCCCAAAAAGAAAAAAAAAAAACACATATCGGCAACTAAGCAGCAACGCCAGTTGACTATAACAGCGGAGAAATACAAAATCATCTCAATGCTACATTTTGCCGTGTTCAGCTAACGCTAAAGTTGTCCCAGCTGAAGTTTGACCACATGATGGCGACATTGGTGACCATAAAACGCTGGCTGGCATCATATCAGAGACACGTCAGAGCAGATAAAGACTGTTTGATATTATTCACCGTTGTCTTTTTTCACAGGACAACGTGGTCTCACACAAATACGTGAAATGACCACGACCTCTCAACAGCGCTTTACGTGATGGTGGCACGTAATGTGTTAAAATTAGCAGTCGGCACCTCTGAAACACTTATAGGTTTAGACAACACAACAAACGTTGGGTTCCATGGGCAATACGTAATTTCATCACATTTCGTGCCGCCTGAGAGGTCGTGGTCGTTTCATGTATTTCTGTGGAGGGAGGTTGAATGTATATGAAACACATTATTGTACCAACTAACTATTTATTTGTATCCACAAATCAAAACATTTACTTTGTAAAAATGTATAAATTTAACACATTTTCTTGGGTGCCATTATTTACATTAGTGTTCAATATATTTGGCATATCCTACTTACAATATGTTGAATTTATTTTCTGTTAATTGTGTTATTTACAAGCAATAACATCTCACCATACATAGAGTACTCCTTAACATTTTAAGAACTGTAACGATTAACATCTCAGCATCAGATAATATTAAAATCGATTAAATATCGGTCAAATTAGAAGGCCTCTGCAAGAACGGGGTCCAGCAGGAACACTAACTCCTGTCAAAGCTCTGTCAGTCTGTTGTTCTTTATTCCCATTACTGAGCTCAGACTGGATACTGACTGAATGTTTTGCCATAAATCACAAAGAGGGAGAAGGCTATAAATACTTAGTTGTTGGCTATCCTGTTTGTTTTTTTGGATGACACCCAAACATGATGGGCAGGTGCAATATTGTAAGAAAACAGTAAAGCTGGATAATCTTATCATCGTGCACTTTGTTTTTGTATTGGGGCTCTGCAGTGATGCAGTGTTTTCCCTTTATTAGTCATATGATGTCCCGATGCCAGCTTCTATGCCTCCCTTTATTCTGTCTTTCCCTCCTTAATCTCCACTCAATACTGCCTCTCTCTCTCCCTCTCTCTCTCTCTCGCTCTCATTTTTGTGTCTCTGTCATCCCCCAAGGTGACTTTCCTTCCTTCACCGACACTGCAGCTGTTTCTCGCTTTGTTCTGGAAGACCTGAGTGTGGATAAGAGATGAGAGCGATGCAGGCCAAGGAATGAAGAAAAGGAGAACCAAGGGAGGAAATGAGGGTGTGAAAGAGGAGTTGACTGATGAGATTATCAAGCAGAATGGAGGAATCTATGGTGTTGACTCACTGCTTAAATCAGTAAGGCATCAAACAAACAAACAAACAAACACACACATCACACATGAGCGGACAGTTTTGTTCTGGTAAAATAAAAAAAATTAAGTGTCATCAAGAGATTGAGCTGCCTCGACAGATACGTACCCGACTAACAAGTTCGATCTTCATTAGTACTGGTGATTAGCACAGTTGTCACATCCCAGTGAGGGTGCACCAGAGTCAGTACTAAATACTGCAAGTATCTGGGACGGAGTTTCTAAATTTAGGGATCAGAGAGACGGAGATGTAGAAAGGGAGGAGCAGCTGGAAAAAGGAGTGAATGTTTTCAGACAGCAAGGTCCAGAAGAAGTCGGACGGAGGACTTCCGAAGTTACACTAAGCAGGATGAATCCAAGCAGTTCCTTAAGACTGTAGAAACACAGCTGCAGTTGTAGGGCCCAGTGACACAGCTTTTTGTTTAAAAGGTCTTCAAAATCTTTCTACCTCTGTATTGCTTCAGTTCTCTTATCTATTTTGTTAGGTGTCTATAAGCTCATGAAAAAACAAGACATCCATATCAATATTCTTTCTAGTATCCTAGCAGATACAAATGCATCTATGCAGACATTTGTAAATATTTTTTCCAGCTAAAGAAAATTTCCTGTCAAGTAAAATATTATATTAGAAAATTGGCCACCAATACATTGAACACAAGACGTGCATGAACTGACACTGAGATGGATCAGTTCTTAGATAGATCATCTTTTTTAATACAGATTCTGTTCTGTTCTATACAATAACACGTAATATAAATCTTATACAATACTAATATTTCTCTATACACATGATCATAAATGTACAGTACAGTGTACACACATATAGTATTAACACAAATACACTTACATGTATCTTCTCGTTACAGTAGCTTTCCAACTCACTCAGAGTTTATCACAATGGCTGATTTTCTGTCCGGCAGATGATTGTGACCAAAAGAAAAACTATTTTCTTTGACTAAAGCCCAAAACAGACACTTCAATATTTACATCCCTGAAAAATGTACATGAATACACAAGAATTATTGTCTTTTGTCTGGCTCACAAATATTGTAAAAGGGGCGAGGATGAAGGAGATAGCCCCAATCCCAAAGGCCCTCTCCAAGAGCCCATATAAAGTTTAAAGTGTACTCTATCTACTTACTGACATAAATCTACTGTAACATCCATTATACAATAGTTGATTGAGGGCTGGCTTATTGTTTTACATCCAGCACGTTGAGAAACGATACATGAAGCCCTGAGGAGAAAGAGAGACACAGATATAGTGAAACGTATTCAGGACTCGGTCCAGAAGCTGACAAAGGCTTTTTTACCTCCGCAGTCATTCAAAGTACTGTCCAAAAGTAGTGACTCTGCCCTCAGGAGCAACACGCAGCCAACACGAGGAGATGCCCCATATCAGAAGTTGTTTTTGCCCCATCTCCCGTATAAGATGCTAGTTTACCTGCAGTGACTACAGACAGTTTTAACTAAGTTTCCACAAAATGTTGCCCTTTGATTTACACTTTAAAACTGCAGTGATACAATTTCAGTAGTATTACAGTAGCCTGTGTAGTTAAGATTGCTCCAAGTATCCTGCTTTTATATTATGCCCAGTGGCCTCTTTCTGTTAATCAGTTGATTAAGTCATTATTCTTCTCTCTTCCTCCAGTAATTAAAACCATAAGTAGAAAACCAACAATTCTGTGTTCACATTCTCTTTGTTCACATCCTAGGGGTCATTGCTTTTCTCAGAATTTATTGCACATAATCACAAAACACGCACGCTCCTTTATTCATTTACCCAACCGCACACACAAAAACACATGCCTACATGCACACATGCAAACATACCAACGCAATCACACATCCTCGCTTACGTCATCTTCACTTTTACTCATACAATTTATTAAACAAATAATAAATAAAGTCATGCCTTTTAGCTTTAACTTACACACATTCTTCCAAAATATGGTGCTTACTGCAAATGAAATCGGAAGCAGTTTTTTTTGCAATTTCCTGGTAGTTTCATATGAGCTTGTAAACTTCTGAATGCTTGTATTTACCCGCTATTAATTAGCTATACCATATACAGTATGTGCACTTTTACTCTGATACATTGTTGTAAACATACAGCAGGACATTCAGCACCACAATAATATATTAATAACTCAATTAAGGCATGAACAAATGAGGGAAATAAAGAGAAATATAGACTTCTATTAATTATCTCACTGAGAATATATCTGTGCAGGTAGATATTGGTGTGCTTTCATAGATAATGACTAAATATAGATCAGTGTGCATGTTAGGTGTGTGTGTGTGTATGTGTGTGTGCGCGCGGCATATGTACATGCACATGCAAGTTGAAAGTGCACGCAGGAACAGTAATGTATGCATTTGCTGTTGCCTAACCTTTATCCTATACAACTGCACACTATTATTTTCAGTATACGTGACTATCATATATGCTTGGCCAGTGTTGTCATGGAGACACAGTGGCCACCAGTTAGAAAGTGGACTATGAGGGCCTGTGTGAGGAGAGCAGAGAGAAGGCTTGAATTAAAGCCCAGGACTCGCCTGTCTCCACATCTGCATGGAACCAGTGGTCATTGGATTTGTCCTGACCTTTGTAAACTAACAGTTTTTTCTCACGCCCATGCACAAATATACACATGACCCATCTCTAGCAGATTGGTAAGATACATACAATTCCTCAAATTCACACACACACACACACTCACACACATGCAAACACACTGAAGAACAGCCTCATTCCCTCACTGCCTCTGTGAGGCATCGATCAGTGGCATCACTGGCCTCCACTCGTGGCTTGCGACTCTTCCTCTGGCCTCCCCCCTCCACCCAGGAGTTATGAATAACTGTCCCCCCGCTGGGAGCTGGGTCCACCTGCAGAAGGGACACTACCCTTTTCTTGACACGTGTTTTGAGGGCACGGCGCAGCTTCTGCCTGGTGAAGGCATAAAGCAGAGGATGAAAAATAGTGGTTCCATAAGCCATTGCCAAGAACCAGAGGCGCAGCCGCACCAGGCTGTCGCTGGGACCCATACACAGGATCAGAACATTGACTGCAGACAGAGGGGCCCAGCAGCCGATGAAGGTGGATATGATGAGCAGGGACATTTTAAGGACGCGACGTTGACGCTCTCGACGGTCCCTGTGCCTGCGCACTGCCCGCCTCAAGGCGATGATGGCAGAAACCGAGGCCTGTACACCCAAGGTGGAGGCAGGCAGTGGTGATGTGGCGGGGAGCTGGGTTGAGGCTGAAGCTGGGGTTGGAGAAGCAGGGGTGGCCGGTGTGGTGGCGATGGGGGTGGTGGCAGCAGTACTGACAGTAGTGACTGTTGCTCCACTATCAGACATCGCCTGTGGCATGGAGGGGAGTGGTGGGGGCGATGTTGGTGTAGGTGTGAGGGAGGGGATGAGAGGTGGATTGGTGAGGTTCTGGTTCTGGTTGGAGGACACCACCTCTGTGGGCAGGCTCAGGTCCTTCTTCTTCTGCCTCCTGCAGCGTATCCTGCAGGTGGAGTCCTTTGCACGCTTACTCCTCATCATGTGGGAGCCTATTCGAATGTTGAGGGCCTGCAGGATCCTGGAGTAGGTGAACAACATGACGGCCACAGCGATGAAGAAGCATGGCACTTGGAGTAACAAGTGGTAATACATAGCCAGGCCAGTGTAGTACCCCTGCCCTCCTACGCACAGCAGCGTCGTGTTCTGCCATACTGGAGTCAGGTGGTGTGTCGGGGAGGAGGGATGAGTTGAGGGTAAGGAGGAAGGAGAGATGGAGGAAAAAATGGGGGTCAGTCCAGTGGTGAACTCCGAGTCATTGTTCTGCCCTCTTGGCTCCTCAACCTTACCGTCCTCAAACATTGAAGAGAAGAAATCCCCCTCAAGGAAGGGCAGGAAGAAGACAGCGAGAGACACGGCCCACACTGCTGCCAGGAGCAGTGCTGCTCTCCTGGGTGTCAGTAGACGACTGGCTGGACGCACTGAGATGTCGTATCGGTCCAAACTGATCACCAGCACATTGACTGCTGTGGCCACACTGGTGAACGTGACACAGGCCTCATGAAAGCAGCACAGCGTGGCCAGGCTGCCGACTCCACTTTCATTAGCTGGTAGCAAGATCACAGCCACAGTCAGTGGCAGACACAGCAGACAGACCAGTATGTCCAGCACATGGAGGTTGACTGTGACCAGGTTGCTGACTGAATCCACCAGGTTGGACTGAGCACAGTAGAGCACAAGTACGGTCAGGTTGCTGCTGAAGCCCAACACCAGCTCCAGCATCAGCACAGTGGTCAAAGACACCTGGAAGCCCAGGGGGTAGGGTGTGCTCCAGCCCTCCTCCACCCCCACCTCACCCCCTCCATCCAGCAGGCCTACCCCCTGACCATCGCTGGTCTCCAGGAGGTCACGATAGCCTTCGGTCTCCATTGACGCCACAGCACTCCCTCACACATAGCAACAGCGGCCGCCACGCCAGACCATGCTCTGTCTTTCTTTTTCTTCTGGCTCAAACGAGACAGTGATGAGGATGATGGCCAGATCTGTGGTTGATTCTGTGAAAAAAATGAATAGAAAAGAGTGGAAAGATAGAGAGATGACAGAGAAAGATCAAGCAGTTATCAGTCAGCTTGTCTCATATTTACTCAAAACACTGAACAGCAAGTGCAAGTCAAACTTGGAGGAGCTAGGAGTTGAAAGTTGAACAACGAGGTGAAAGTGATCTTGGCCAGCGATTAGAGTCGTGGTGTGCAGTTCAAGCTGCTGCTGATGACCCATGATTCCTCACTGGGCTCACTTGTTAGACAACAACATGCTTTGCATAGACAATGGTAAGAGTTCAGACAGGAATTGGAGCAGGAAGTCTCTCGGGGGGTCATTTGCAAGTATGACTGCATTAAGCAGGGACTCAGCGGAGGATCCCTGAAGAGTCAACAGATTTTAACAAACGATGGGGATTTATTTCCTGACTGTGCTTACAGTTCATATGCTATGCTACGCTACATTTTGTCAAAAAGATGTAACCATGCTTCTCATGAGCAGGAGTGGGTGGATGTTGGATTCATTGTTACGCAACATATATATATATATATATAGGTCAGGAAGCTTGCAGAATAAGGCATGTGGAAACATTTATAAACCAACCACAACTGTACTGTAAAGACATGTTGTCTATACTGACGTAGTAAGATCTACCTCTACTGGATTTGTACAATTAATGCCTGTACAAATCCAGTATTTGCCAATTTGGAAAAAAAAAAACAACCTTCTGTTAAATCCTAAAACGGTCAGCTTCTGCCTCCGAGAGGAGAGGTGGCAAGGACATTGGTGGGCTGGTAGAGAAACCGTGCAGTGCATGTCAAGAAAGCAGGCCCCCAACTGAGGGTGGCAGCAGTAAATAGTTCTCACAGGGAGATGTAATGAAGACGAATGGATCAATGAGCCACAGACAGTGGCACATAAACAATGCTATCAGAGAAAGACCAGATCCCCTGGCATCCTCTCTCCACACCCCCTCTGTCTCATCTGCTCTCCTACATCCCTCACCTCCCTTCCTACTCTGTTCCCCTTTTAGTGTACTGGCTGAGACAGACTACTTTGCATGGAGAGCATGTTATTCATGACTGACTGCGTGCTCTCCTGTGCTTGTTGGTTGATTAGATATAAAGCCTCTTGTTGATATGTAGCGATAAAAAACTATTCCCTGAGTCTCTGAACTAAAAGCAACAGGTGTGTCTTTACCGGCAGCATTGACCTCAGCCTTTGCTGTCAACCTTTCCTCTGCCACAGCTTTTGTTCTCATCCTCTCGCCCTTTTCCCATTTGTTTTATCTCACTTTTTTTTCATCCCATTTGTCATCTGGAAAGAACCTTCAGGCAGAACAGGACTCAGTGAGGAACAGCGGTCTATCTTAATCCACTATAGGTTCCATGGGGTTTGTGGTGTTGGAACATTGATTTAAAGCATCATTGATCCGATCTGCCAATTTAACAAGCCCGAGGCATGGGAGCACACAAACACACTCTCTATCGCCTCCTCTCACGGGTACCTGTGGTTTCATTTTGAGTGCTGCATAAAATAGTTGTGAGCAAATTTGTTTTGTTTCTTTCTTTCAACACCAACTGCAGTTAAAGTGTTGTTTTTATAGGTATCAGTGTAATGCTGCAAGTGACATTAATGAACTAAGGTAGTGTGTTTAAAAAGTTGGATGTAACTTCAGTATTTGTAATATTCCCCTTTTCCCAAAAGCAATCAAAAAATATGTTGAACAAAAAATTGAAATTATGCCTGAAATGGAAAAGACATCCGGCATAATCACAGATATATTTTAGGAATCTAGATGATTGAGGCTATTCACACTGAACCACAAGAATATTTAGTGAGCTGTGGCTTTTTAATGCAATCAAAATCAACTGTGTTAACATTCTTTGTTCAATATGGTGGACTTCAAGGTGTCACAGAGAATAAAGGAGCAAACAAAGGAACAGTGTATGTTCGACAGCCAATCAGTTATGACAATCACAGAGGTAACATACATGTCAATACTGCATTGACCAAACTCCTTCCATCTCAGGCAAGTGTGTGTTTGAAGCACTGCAGTAAATTGATGTTAGGAGAATAACTGAATTTACCATTTATGTAAAACTAAATATATAACGTAAATGTAAGCAAAGAATATGAAATGGAACGATATAACACAAAAATCACCTGTGATCTGAATTTTCATATTCACAGAAAATGGAGACATTTGTTCTTTTTTCACAAGAGTAAAATGCTATTGTGAAGTTACTGATTTGATCAGTCTCGTCAAACATCATCTGTTTCTCTTAACAGTCCTGGCAATAATTACAAAGGGATGATTGTGTACCGGTGAAATGAGCAGGCTGAATTGCTTTCAACAAGAGTCGTTTATGTTACTCTATGACTAAGCGTAACAATGAGCCACAATCAGTCCTGTGATAATAGATACTCACTTTGTGATGAACTGGTAAGAGATAAGAGCCACAAGGCCACAAACAATAGAGCAGAAAAAAGAAGTCTGTGTTAGCATGCAGTTTGAGGGCAAAACAAAATGTTATAAGCCCTGAATATGAACAGCTGTGACTCTGACCTGCGGGCAGGAGCAGTCACCATATTGTAGTATTTACAGGGAGAGAGGGAAGAAGAACATGAAACTGTGTAGACAGGGTGGTGGAGTTTGGGCTGTTTTTCTAATGATCACCAAGTGTCTTTCAGTTGGAACTGTAAATACTCAGGTTGATTTGAGGCTACAGATCAGCCTTACACAATGTATGGTCCTGCTAGCTGAAAAACATGGTGCAGAGAACTCCTTGCAGTATTCTATCATAAAGGTTTGGATCTAATAAGTGCATTGTGTTATTGTGGCATGCTTGTTGCAACATACCAAAGTGTTTGTGTGCGTATGTACTGTATGTACGTGTGCAAGTCGGTGCTCTTTTAGTTGTGGAAACAAAAATATCTGGAAACAAGGGGAAACAGCCTATATGATTGACAAGTCAGACAGAAGAGAAAGGAGCAGAAGGAAGCTTAAGGCATGTACTACTAAACATGATCTAAAAAAATGACCCACGCAATCAGGCATTCAAATTTTAAAAAGTCTAACAAGTTTTTTGACAGCTTTGGTAGTTAATCCTGAAGACAAACAAATCTGAAGGTCATTTTTTTTAAGCCTGAGTTCTTTTGAGTTCTGTGATCGTCATAGGGGATGGCTTCATTTCAGTCGCAGTCTTAAATTAGTTTCGGTAAATCCATTCTACCCTCTCCTAAGTCATCAATCCAACAGCATCATTTACAACCACGTATTGAAAGCTAAATAAAGTGTCTGGTTGGTTGGAATCTAAAGAGTAACTGTCATCTACGGATTTTATTTTGAAGATGATTTCATCAAATCTAGAGTGTAAATTACTGTAGATTATGTCCTTTGCTCCAAAACAACAACCAAAAACTGAGTGTCATGCACAGTGACAGCGCAGCCTCCTGAAGCCGTGCTGTCAGGATTATTATAGGTGTCGGAAAGTGCCCCTCTACACAATATCAGAGGGGAAATGCTCAAGCAGATCCTATTGTCAGTGTGAAATGTTCATTTTTTTGTTTCTATGCTTGTCTTTGTGCAATTTATTTACATCTGCTCTAAGCTATCCATGTATCTAGTTTCTTTCTCCTGACAAAATGTTTCTTGCCAGAGGCTAAATTACTTCTTTCCAACACAAAGACAAACAGTAGGCATCCTTTTGGCCCAGACGGAGGCTAAAACAACACATTGTACGGCATTTCATTATCTTGGTCTATTTGTTAGGTATGTCTTTGTGAAATAACATAACACACAACATAACTACATTGAGAGAATATGTAAAAGTCATAGCAGTGTACATGCTAGAGAACATGAGCAAGACTGAAATACAGCCGCCCTGGACTCACAAGATAACTGCAGCAAATCACTGCAACAGTTTCATCAAAAGAGTGCAATCAACAGTGCCGCAGCAGCTTAGTGGACGCCAAGATTAATTCAAGCCACAACTCTTTGTCTCCTATGTTTAGTCAGACATTGTGTTTATTATTTGTTATTATCAAAAAAACTGTTATTCAGTTTCTACAGTATATATTCTTTTATCAATACACCTGCAAACAACAACCACACGGATAGTACATTATAATGTGACTTCTGTAATCCTACCTCAATGTGTAGAAGCACACTTCACTGCTTCACACAAGATTCACCTCAGATGACAACTGCACTTCCAGGCCAGTGCACCTGTCTGATACAAACAACACATACACACGTTTGCTGGGATGTCTAAAAGGCAGAAAAGGTTTATTAAATCTGTCCCTTTGTGTCATGGCTTCCGTCTGCTGTGCTGCTGTGTGCCGAGGTCTCAACCAGCGGCTGTTGAAAGTGCTGATCCTGCACCAGGCCCGAGGGCACTCTCCCATTTTCACCCCAGTCCTCTATGCGACAATGGTAGTCGGTACACGTGAGACTTCAGTTTGCTAATTATTCAAATGTGACCACCGTCTGTTCCCTCTATAAAACTTTATGTGCTCAGTTTGCAGTTTGCATATTTCTGAGGGTGTAACAACATTCCACAGAAGACAATCTCTGTCTGTTGTAAACCATGTGTGTGGTGATTTAAAGTGTTAAAGTAGGTGTAGTGTAGGGTTGTTGTTGTCAGACTCTTTGACCATCCTAATATTGCTGTAAGTTAGACAATATAGCTGGAAGCAGGGCTACTTAAGAATGACAGATAAGCAGCTCAGACTTCCATAAGCTGATGTTTCGGCCATCTAATGTTATCTGAAAAGTCTGGTTTAGTGGAGCACACTGGATTGCTTTAAGTAAGTCTATCCGTCCTCGAGGCAGGAATTCTTATTTTTAATCAGTAAACCTGCTGCTGTGGTTTAAATTCAGCTGTTGGAAATGATTCAGCTCTTCTGTGAGGCTCTGCGTTCACCTCAGGGACGGGGTTGTCAGTGCTGTTTACATTCAGACAACAATAAATAAAGTAGACGTGTGTCCCTTTTTTTTTCTCCAAAAATG